CGCTGCCAAGATCTGATTCCTGAATCTTCTGGAGCAGACGGGACAGTGGTTAGAGGTAACCAACACATGGCTGAGATTCCGAACGCGGCGCCTATGACGGAGGTGTTCCATGAGACCTTTCCTAATGGTAAATCGACATGTGCACGGTGTGCATGTGCCATCAGCCGATGCGTTTGCGGCCGTGCAAGCGCAAGGTTGTGCACGTGCTTCCTGCGCGCGATCGGCCTCTTGGACAACAGGGGGGGGGGCTCTGGAGGAGGTGCTGCATGACTGACTTGATGACTCCCAACTCTGTGTAATCCAAAGCAGCGAAGTCCCTCGTGTCCTCCTCCTCCTCCTCCAATAGACGCCACGGGCAATCCGCGATCCTCGACAGGAGGTCCCCGGCGCCGGGTCAGCTCTGGATGGCCCCCCTCACGTCGCCCCCGACCCTCCGAGCCCAGGGGGAGGCATACTTCGTCAACCCCGTAGCTGAACACGGCCACTGATCAGGATGTTCAAATCTCATATCCCCCAAAGAGTGCCACTAAAACTTGGATGTGCGAGCTCTGGTGCTTCGCCCAACTCTGATACCAATGCGAACGTCGTGCCAGCAGCGCATGATAACAATCCATGATTCCCCAATAATCTAAAACCTCCCGGCTTGATAACGAATGAGCGTGGTCATCGTCATCTTGTGCGTGTGTGCATGCTGCGCCCATCATGGCCGTGCGTCCTAGTCGTGCAAGGTGTCGGTCCAGTAGAGAATACTGCTTCTCAGAGAGTATGAAGGGTTCCAATCCCGATAACAGTGACCCCTGAACTAGACCAATGACTATGACACGCTTCCATGCCTTCGGGCTCTCCATGGACCAGAAAGCGCCCATGCTGTAGAACCCGACGACGCAGCGCTCACGCGACATTCAAGCCCAGAGGATGCCTACTGCAACGGCGTGATCAAAGGCCCGATATATCGAGCGACATCAGAGACCCATCCGGCCAGTCTACCCCCTTGAATTCCATGGGTACGCATATACTTCTTACACTGGAGAGATCCAGGGCCAGCGATGTGCAAGTGCGTCACCTGTTTTGTCTTGTTCTGTACATGGCCCGTCGTGTCCAGAGGCGTCTAATATGTCATCAACTTTATTGAGAGAGTCGAGAACCTCCTCCATCCCCCCCCCCCCTCCCAATGCATAATGATACAATTGTAAGGAGATCATATGCACACTTCAGATAAGACATATCTACCTTCTCACCACACCATAGGCTCTCAACTAGGCTAGCACTAGGGATCACATCTCGAACCTTCTGGGCCCAATCGGAAACAGGCTTGACGAACGCCCCCGCGAACCCCTGAACATTGAACGGGCCCCCCATCACGCCTCCACAGCCCGTCTCCACGTGCAGCGGTCCTGTCGCCGTGTCAACCTCCACGACTGAGAGACGGCACCTCTGGCGGCAAAAGACCCGATCCTCTGGGGCTGCGCGTTCCTGGGCGACTGCACCAAGTGCGGTCCAAGCCGCGCTGCCGGAAGCATTCGAGAGATCTTTCATGGCGGTGCCGAAACTCCAACCTGCCTGTCTAAAACGGAAGCCATAGGCCATGACGCCCATCGCGGCCCCCCCCACACACACACACACACACACACACACACACACACACACACACGCACACACACACACACACACACACACACCACCCCACCCCGCCCCCGCCCCCGCCCCCCCACGCACGCGGCGACGTGCGAACCCGTGATCTCGAGGAGGAAGGGCGAGGGTAGACGCTTCGCATGCCAAGCTTCCCCAATAGATGGCAGGGCATGGATAAGACGGCGGCCACGAGGGCCAGACATCTCATTCTTATACGATCCAACGCCTCTGCTGCGGTGCCAGTATAAAGGTGCCAAATCACACCTGCGTATTTGAACGAGAGCTTGATGCATGATATGGCGACGCGTGTTCATCTCGGGAAGAGCCCCCTGGAACCCCACCCCCTGGCCCCTCTTGCGCAGCCCGACCTCTGGGGATAGGAGCATGTCCCAGATCTCCAAAGGTAGCGTGCCAGGTGGGGCGGCCCTTCGTTTGCCAGCTTTCCAACAGCATGTACGAATCGCCTTGAAGTCCAGGAAACAGGAAACCTAGCTCCCCCAGGACACTTCCATCGCCAGCTGTGTTTTTTTTTGGGGGGGGGGCAGGAAGATCATCATGCTCATGACGCCACCCTTCCCATGAAACCTCCTTAGCCTCCCACCCCCCCTTCTCCTCCTGGAAATGATCAAAACGATGCCCAGACTGAACGGCCCAGCGGGACAGGGCCCAGACGACGCCCACCTCCCTGCTTGGCGCCGGAACGGCAGCGGGCAGCACGACGAGATAGGTGCATCGCGTCGGCAAGCCGCCGCGACCGCCACGCCTCCTCGATGAGTTCAACGCGCAGTGCCTTTTTCAGCTCGCGATGCCCGCCTCCGCTCATCCTTAAGACGGGCTGAACGTCGCCGAAGATCCTTCTCCACCTCCCCCAACTCCGCCTCCGCGTTAACCTCCTGCCCCCCCCCCCCCCCCCCCCCCCCCTTCAACCGAGAACGCTCCGCCAGTAATTCCCGTGGCCGATAGCGGTCCTGCGAGTTGGGCGCGAGGGGGGCCTGACCAAAGTGCCGAAGACCAATGGCGTGCATCCTGCATTCGAGAGCCTCGAATATCTGATCAGGTGCACCAGTCTCGGTCAGGGCCAACAGGCCCCCCTCATGCGCTTCCAGCTCCTGAACCACTTCTGAGAGGAAAGGGACCTTACCCCGACCTGATCGAATCGCCTGCGTCAGGGTGAAGGTGTTCATCTTGGGTGGAGGCTGTGGGGGAAGGTCGCGAGGGTCCTTCGTGTATAATAACATTAAATAGACAGGCACATGGTCACGAGGTGGCAATCCTTTTACAGCTTGCATTCGTGCCCCCAGCCCCCTGAGGGGATGGCATCGCACAACTCGATCTTGGTATCCCCGCGGAATAAAGAGGAAATCGATCAATGAACGACGCGATGGGTTCCCACAAAAGAAATACGCATGTTCCAGAAGAAAGAGCGTGGCTGGGATAATCATATGCTGCTGTTCCATCAACCTCCGAATCTCTTCCCCCGCTCCCTTCCTCCTGTGCTCCTGTGCACGCGCATCTCCAACTGCCAGGGAAGGGGCCGCCTCCCACGAGCCACTGATCTTAGACAAGCCGGCGCCGTCGTTGAGGTCGGCGTAGAATACAGGGAGGGCACGGGCAGGGAGGGAGTGCAGGAGACCTTCCACCACTGAACCAGCACCTGGACCGTGGAGAAATACTGTCCTACTTCATCTCGCCGAGAAGGTTGTGGGGGGAAATATAGTGCACCATCTACTTCGTCTTGTGCGCCGTGCTTCACGCGTGCTGCAACTGCTCTGCCCGCTGCTCGAGGTGGTGCCGCACACGTCTGGACAAGATCACGCTCACGATACGACTTCCCAAGACATACTGCACACCCCGTACTCCGATTCGTCAGAGGACTATGCTGAAAGACCGACTCGAACACAACTCGCCCCTCACACCGACGACGAAGTACCCCTCCTCCCCGACGACATGTTTCCTGAGTGCCTGCGAATAGTAACACATATGACCCTTTGGTGTTCAGTAACACTTCACTTAATCGTAAGCCTGTTGCATACATGGGGTTGAAGCCCAGGACGCGGAGGATCGAACGCATCGGCGCCATGGACCCTCTTCAGGAGGGGCTCTCTGCGACCCCCCACACCGTGTGCTGGTGGATCGAACCCCACGTACAGTATCGGATGTGTGCATCACGCGCTGGGGCTACAATACAAGAGGAGGAAGAGGAGGAAGAAGAGGACGAGAAAGACTGGGGAAGCCCCGTCAAGCCAATGTGCCTCTCCACCTGCGAAGAGAGATGAGCGCTCCGCCCGAGATGAGCTGTGTTCCTGCCAACCAAACACTTATAGACACTTATCTCCTTCCTCCTCTTACTTCCCCCCTCCTCCTCCTCCTTCTCCTCCTCCTCCCCCCCCTCCTCCTCTGAGCTTGATCCCTTCCTCGGAGGGGGATGTGGAGGAGCGAGGTGGACCTGTACACTTGCCATCCCTCAATTTCCCCCTTTCACTGGCCCAACCCGCTCTGCTCCTATCCTGACTGCGCAACGTCAAGGCGTGTTCCATACGTCTGCGAGACCCGACAGCAGTCTGAGGAACAAAGCACTACGCAGAAAGCCCGAGAGTCACCTCCTGCCCCGCGTACTCTCACCCTCCCATCTCGACCCAGTGTCCCTCCGTCGCTCCCTTCCACCTCCCTGCCCAACCCCTTCGCTGGCGCGCGGCCGCCAAAGGATCCAGCGCCGATCCAAGAAATCCGCGCGTGCCTCCGCGTTTACGTTGAAACCGATTGTCGTCTTTTCGTGATGGGGATATCGGGATGAGGGAGAGAGGTCCTGGACGTAAAGGTTCTGCTGGGAAATTGTTGTTCATGCCAGGTTTTCTGATCATATTCTCCAGGCCTCCACAAAAAGGGGCTCCAGGAGGCGGCGTCGGCGTCGGAGGATCGTGCCTCATCGCCGGTGCATCGGAGACACGATTTGAGGCCCGCCTGGTACGACCTGCCGTCGCCGATTGCATCGCCGGCGATGCGGCGCGATCCTCTGACCCAATTTGCTCCGGCCCCATCATCGAGGCCTCCAGAATCCCAGACATTCGACGAACGATCTCTGTCTCAGCGCGCAGACTCTGAGGTCCCGATCCCTTCCCCAAGAGTGGTATCTCGTCCCCCCTCCGTTTTTGTATGGCCCCCGGGCCCGACACCAGGCCCCAGAGGCTGAAATCGAGGGCAAAAACGCTAGGAATGCGAGAAGCATATCGCGGGAGATCTGGGACCACGGCCGCCTCCTGCGACCCAGACCCCCGACTTCGTGATTCTTCCATGACGCGACACCACGAGGCCTGGACCCATTCCCCGGGACCGGTTTTGCATCCCGAATCGTTTTTGACGCTCTTCAAGGCCCGGTAGGGGCACCCAAAGGCCGAAAATAGCGAAAAGCTTCCCGTCGTGATTGTTGTCACGACGCGAAGTGGTCTGGGATCACGGCCGACTCCTGCGACACCGGCGCTACCGAGGGCACCCGGTCGGCGGGCGCCGACGCCGCGGCCGCCGCGCCGCGGATGCTTTTCTCGTTGCGCGGCGCCCGCGAACGCGGCGCAGAGGTCGCGGGCCAGAGCAAAGCCCGCCCCGTTCCAAGCTCTGCCCCCGGGCTGCCCCGCTCCTCCCTCCTCGACCCCCCCATCATTTGTTTCCCTCGCCCCCTCCTCCCGCCCCTCCTCCCCCACAGTCACCCCTCCCTCCCTTTTTTCCTCTCTTTCTTTCTCTCCTCATCTCTCTCTCTCTCTCTCTCTCTCACTCTCGCTCTCTTTACTTTTGTTTATTTCTTTTTCTCTCTTTCTCTCTCTCTTTCTCTCTTTCTCTCTCTCTCTCTCTCTCCATCGTTCGTAATCCTCCCTCCTTCCCTCCCGCCCCCCTTTCCCCCAAAACCTGCGAACTCCCTCCGTTTCAACCTCCATCCCCCCACCGTCGCCCGTCGCCCTTGCACCTTCCCGGGGGGAGCGGATGCAGGCGCACACACCGCCCTCCTGCGCCGAGGAGGGATGAAAGAAAAACGAACGGGGGGGATGGGCAACAGAGGGAGGAAGAGACGAGGCGAGAGCAGCATCAGGGAGTATTTGTTCCTCCTCCTCCTCCTCCTCATCATCATCAGCAGCATCATCAGCATGCTCATAATCAGCATCATCACAATCATCAACATGATCATCGTCAGCATCACAACCTTCATCATCATCCTCATCATCATCACCATCATCATCATAATCCTGATCATCATCACCACCACCATCACAATCACCACCACCATCATCATCATCATCGTCATCATCGCCTGTATCATCATAATCATCATCATCACTCGCTCGCTCTCAAACTTCCAACAGGAGGGAGCAAGGGAGAAGGGAACAAAGGAGAGGGATCCTGAAGAGGGAGGACAGACGAGAAGTATATCAAGAAGATGATGCACAGGAGGAAGAGGAATAGGAAGTCGAGACGAGAGGGAGGATCAGGGGACCGTTTGCCCACCTGCTCATCCTCACTCCCCCTTCTCGCTCGCTCGCTGCCTGAGGCCTCGGGCCGATGCCTAAGAACAAGATGCAATAATGATGACAGTGATGATGATGAGGATGAGGGTGATGATGATGATGATGGTGATGATGATGCTGATGATGATGACCCCGCTCTCCCAAGGTGGGTCGAAGCCGAAGCGCCACCGTCCACCAAAATGCCGCCTCATCCTAGCGCGGTGCATCATATCGCCACACTACTCGCTGTATATGACACTACTCGCTGTATCTGCTCCTTGGGCCTCGGCCCGTGCTGCCTGCATGAACTCGTCCATGGCCATGTCCTTTGTCTGTGTCCCCGTCGCGCCCCGCGGCGTGGTCGTCCTTGACCCTGTCCAGTGCACTCCAGCGGAGCACCTCCACTGCGTCGCACTGCGTCGTGGACGCGGCTGCCAGCGCGTCGAGGCTGGCGCGGTCCAGGAAGTGGGCCTTCTCCACAGGGCCGTTGGGGCCGAAAACCGCCTCATCGTCTATCCAGCCGAAGAAGCGCGCCGTCCCCCCGACCCCCGCCACGGCGCCGTCCATGCCCGAAGGCTCATCGTCCGAGAGGCCCCCGCCTGCGCCCACATCGCCGTGGCTCTGCACCACGGCTTGCTTCTGGTCGTCGGCGCTGTCCTCGAAAACGTGGGCCTCCAACTCTTCCTCCTCGAACTCCTCGGCGTCGCTCGCAGGAGCTGTCGGGATGGTGCCATCGACGCTGAACTTGTCCACGTCGTCGGACAGCACGCCGAAAACGCCGCCCTGCACCAGTGCCGCGGGGCCGCGCCCCCCGACCTCGCGCAGGTACTGCGCGTCCTCCAGCTCCTCCTCGAGTCCCTCCTGCACGATCTCCTCCACCACCAGCACCTCGCAGACCTCGGCGGCGACGCCCACGTCGCCTTGCACCCCGAGGCCCTCGAGAAGCCTGTCGACCGTGAGCAGCTCTCTCACCGCGAAGCCGTCGCTCGCGCCGCCGACTTCGCTTTTGACGATGCCGACGTCGGCGCTGTCAACGGTGCCGCCCATGACGTCGCCCATGAAGTAGCAGCGGCACGGCACGAAGGGCGCCGCCGCGCCGTTAAGCGCGGGGAACCGGGGGACCGCGGGCAGCCGCGCGCGGCGCAGCGCCGAAGCAGGGGCCGTCTCCGGCGGCCACGGCACCACGGCCGAGTGGAGCGCCACGTTCCTCCGCAGCGTGTCGACGGGCGACGCGGCCTTGTCGTGGACCAAGTCGTGCAGGTGCCCCGCCACCACAGCGAGGCGGTCCGCGATGGAGGGGTCTCCCAGCGCCGCCGCCAGCTTCTCGTACCTGCCTCTCCAGAACTTGACCGCCCGATGCAGGTCGTGAACGAGCACGTCCCCCGACAACCGAGCCCAAGCCTGGCTTGCACGCCTGCGCTGCCGCCGTGCCGCACTCGGGCCCAGCGCGCCGCCACCAGCGTCCTCCCGCGAGGGGGCGGCCGCCCGCGCCGTCCCAAACCGCGCCAGCCGCCGAGGGCCGCTAGCACACCGGCTTGAGCCAAAATGGCTACGGATGATGATGATGATGATGATGATGATGATGATGATGATGATGATGTTGATGATGATGATGATGCTGATGATGATGATGATGATGATGATGCTGATGATGATGATGCTGATGATGATAATGATGATGCTGATGATGATGATGCTAATGATGATAAGGAGGAGGAGGATTATCATGATAGAGTAGGACGAAGCCCTTCTTCTAATCAAAAATCTCATCATCCTCATCATCATCGCCATCATCATCATCATCATCATCATCATCATCATCACCACCATCACCATCAGCATCACCATCACCACCGTCATACCCATCATAACCATCATCACCATCGCCATCATCACCGTCGCCATCATCACTAAGATCATCACCAAAATTATCACCATCGCCATCACCATGACCATCAGCACCACCATCACCATCACCATCATCACCGGCATGGCCACCATCAACATCAGCACCGCCAACGCCACCATCATCACAATCACCATCATCACCACCATCGTCATCACCACCATCACCAGCATCCCTCCTCCCCCCATTCTGTCCTTCCTCACCCATCCTCCTCCTCCTCCTCCTCCTCCTCCTCCTCCTCCTCCTCCTCCCCCTCCCTCCTCCCTCCTTCTCCCTCCTCCTCCACCTCCTCCCGCCCTCACTCCCTCCCTCCCTCCCGCCCCGCCTCGACCCTCCTGACTCCTCCCTGCAGGCCGGGGGCTGCAGTCGCCCGCGAGCGCGCGCCCTTCGGGCGGGCGCTCACACGCCCGTGGGGGGCCGCAACTCGCCCTCCTCCGCGGCGCTTTGACCGCCCTCGCCGCCGCCGGGGGCGACGATGACGACGGCTCTGGAGGCTCTCGAAAGAGACCGTCAGCCCCTGCCGGTTGTCCCTTCGGGGCCGCCGAAGCCCCCAGAGGCCTCTGGAGGTCCTTCGCCGCGGGGCGCAAAACACTGAAAGCGTTCAAACATTCCATTCGGGGACCACGACGACCAAGACGACGACGAAGACGACGACGACGAAGACGACGAGGAAAAGGTCAGGGCCAGTCGGCATCAATTCGGAAAATCAGATCGAATCGAAAATGTGCGTCGGATCGGTCTTCATCTGCACGGGTTCGAAATCGACTCGGCTCGGCTGCGCCAGGATGCACATCAGCGCCGTGCAGGCATCGGACCGCATCGGGTCGTCAGAATATCGGGATCGAATCGGATCGAGCCGACCAGAATCGTTATCGAATCGAATCGAGTCGACATGGACCATGCGTGGCCAGGACGAGGCCCCGAGCCAGGGGAAGCCTATGCTTACGAGCTTGCCTGCTTCGGCACGCGTGGAGGGGGCCGCTCAGAAGGGGCCCGGAGGCTTCTCGGAAGGTCTCTCAGAAGGCGTGACGGCTTCCAAGAAGTCCCCCCTCGCCTTCTCAGCAGGCCGCCCCCCCCCCTCGCCTCGCCCTCCGCCGACATCCGCTCGGAGCTGGCCTCGGAACCCCGTGCAGGGGAACGCCCCGCAGGGGCAGGCGGCGAGGGCGGGGGGGCGAAGGAGGGGAGGTGCGAGGAGAAAGCTGCGCCGCCCTCCTTCACCAGCGACTGCACCTGCCCGCCCTGCATCTGCACGGCGTACATGGGCCCAACCTCGGCCCCATGGGGGAGGGAAAAAGAGGCGGACGAGGAGCGAGGGAGCAGCGGTAGTATCCAACTCCTGATTGCACCGCGAACCGTCTCTCTCTCTCTCTTTCTATTTTGCGTCCTCTCTCGTTCTCTCCCTCTCTCTCTCTCTCTCTCTCTCTCTCTTTCTCTCTGTATGGATATACATATGTATAAGTATCGTTCTCGCTCTCGCTCTCTCTCTCTATGTATTTATATATATATATATCTTTATCGCTATATTTCTCTTTATGCTGTCTCTCTCTCTCCTCTATGTGTATATAGAAACATATTTCTATATACATGGATACATCGATATCTACATATATATTTATAGCATGTGAATATCCCTATACAAATCCGCCGACCCTGTCGGCGTGTGTGAGGGGCTTTTCCGTTCGAGCCGTCATCTCCGTTATTCTTTGTACTCGTCGTCGCTGTCCTGCGCCCCAGCCGCCCGAGCCGCGCCCGAGCCGCTCGAGCCAAGCCGACCTTGAGCAACGTCGTCATTCAGTCGAAGGGAAGCCCCTTCCCTTTGATCCCTTCCCCGCCGGGAGGGGGGGGGGGGTATCGACCCCCCCCCCGGGTCAGATACGACGCCCACCCTCCGTACCGACCTTGAGCAACGTCGTAATTCAGTCGAAGGGAAGCCCCTTCCCTTTGATCCCTTCCCCGCCGGGAGGGGGGGGGGGTATCGACCCCCCCCCGGGTCAGATACGACGCCCCCCCCCCGTACCGACCTTGAGCAACGTCGTAATTCAGTCGAAGGGAAGCCCCTTCCCTTTGATCCCTCCCCCGCCGGGAGGGGGGGGGGGTATCGACCCCCCCCCCGGGTCAGATACGACGCCCCCCCCCCCCGTACCGACCTTGAGCAACGTCGTACCCTGGGCCTCCACCCTCCACGCCGTCCATTCGGATGGAGCGGAAGGTTCTGTTTTTCGCGCGAATTCTATATGATTTCGCAGAGTTTTCACGAGATCCTGGAAGTTATGTGAATTAGTTATACGTGCGGGTAGCATGCGGTTACGGCGCCGGCCACCCCATCCCGTCGATGCGGTAGAGGGCCGATCCACGATGTCCGCAAGGGCTGCCCCTCCTCCGACGTTGGACGAACTTCTCCCTCTAGGGGCCCCGTTCCCGCGGGCCCCAGGGCAGTCAAAAATCAACCCACAGATCGATGACTCATGTTTCCTATCAGGACTTCGAGGGTCGCGTTTTGAAAAATGAAAACATCGGACGTCTGGGGATCGAGCAGACCTCGTGCGTCGGGGGCCGCATCCCCCTCCCCCCTTGGCGTGATCATTAACGGAAGGAGGGGCGAGGGAGGGGTGTGCCGAATTGGGGGTGGAACCGCATGCGAACGCCACCACTGGGGCCTTCGGTGGAGCTCCCTACGGGGTCATGATCTAATGGCTAGCAAGATTGACAGTCGTCCAGCAGTTGTTACGGGCACAGACAGGACATCGCGGAGGGACAGGGGTTTAGATGTCATTAAACGCGCGGGCGCGCCATTTCATCTCCGAAGGTGCATGCGCCTCGCGCCGTGCATAATTCAAATGGCGTGCACGCCATTCTCCTGTGCGCCCGCCCGCAACAGGTTCCATCCTCCAGGCGGAGGTTATGTAGAAACCTCCGTGTCAAAAGGGGATCGACCACTCGGTCGCGTCGCAAATAGGGAGAAGGAGCATGTGTATACATATATAGTTAACAGCACATACAAACCGCCACCGATCGACGTGCACAGGGGATGGGAATGTCCGCGGCGGTTTTTTCTTTCCCGATCGCATGCGCAATAGTACTCAGCTGCACGGTGTGGCCCACGCGACTATTGCTTGAAGCCATGCAGCTCCAAGTTGTTGAAACATTATGTTTCAACTAGTTGTTAAACATCCCAACGCTTAGGAACGGAGAGGGGATGCATGTATAAAATATGTATGCGTATCATGTGCACACATGCATACGAACATACATACATGCATATATAACGAATTGCATGCATACATACATACATACATACATACCTACATACCTACAGACCTACATACCTACATACCGACATACCCACCTACCTACATACATACATAAATACCTACATACATACATACATACATACATGCATACATTACACACATACATACGCACATGCATACACTTACACACATACACACATACATACACACATACATACATACATACACACATGCATACATACACACATACATACATACACATACATACAGACAGACATGCATACATACATACGTGTATGCATGCATACACGCCTACAGACATACATGTCTACTATACGTGGCATCAATGGAGCGCCATTTCAACCGCATCTGGCTAGTCGTCGTAGATCACTGTACACTCATGCACGTCCACTCTGAGAGCCACGCGTGAGCGAGAGGGGATATTTCCAACGATCGCGACGCACATCGGCTCGCGGCCAATGGTGGGGCGGAGCGCGCCCCGACGGAGGTGCCAACGGAGGAGGCGGAGGAGGGGAGAGTGGGGGCTGAGGGGAGGTCGTCGCCGGGGTCCCCGGAGAAGTCACTGGGGCCGAGTGTGCTTGAGTGTGTGAATGCGTGTGCGCGTGTGCCTGAGTGCGTGAGCGCGTGCGTGCGCGCGTCCGTGCCTGAGTGTGTGAGCAGGGGGGGGGAACAATCAGGCGTCTGAACATGACGCGGCGGGCATCGGCCCACTATAGAATACTGCGGCGGACATCTGACGTCGCATTGCAGCGTCGGCCCTCTATAGAATACTGCGGCGGACATCTGACGTCGCGATGTTAACAGCGTCGGCCCTCTATAGAATACTGTGGCGGACATCTGACGTCGTGATGTTAACAGCGTCGGCCCTCTGTAGAATATTGGGTCAGCGCGGTGGGGCCGCCCCCTCAATCGACCCCCCCGCCCTTCCAGTGCGCCTCGCGCCCCCAGAGCACCCCGCCAGAGTATGATGACTGCAAGACATGCGCGATGAGGCAGATCCCGAACCTGTGCAGAACCCAAACATCTTCGTACATCGACCTGGTAGTTACCAGGTCGATGTACGAAGATGCTCCGCGTGGCAGTGGGTTTGAAAACACCTGCGCCCCCAAACGCCGGCCCCGACGCCGGCGCCGACGACGACGACGATCGACGACGACGACGACGACGACGATCGACGACGACATCGATCGACGACGACGAAGACGATCGACGACGACGACGACGACCGTCTTTACTGTTTCCACGTGCACGTGGAACTGCAGATTCTAGACGTACACATCCGTGTATTCGAATACACGTGAGCAGATCTGCTCTCAACCAGCGTGCGTCGGCTGCAGCTGGCGGCTCTCGAGGTGAGAGGTGGAGGAGCTGATGGTGGAGGTGAGGGTGGAGGTGAGATGAGGGCGGAGGTGATGGCGGCGGCGAGGGTGGAAGGATAGCGAGGATCCTGATCGAGGGTGAGGGAGGAAGAGTTTGAGGCAGGGAGGCGACGCTCAGCTCTAGTCGACGTCGATCGCGTCGGCGAACCTGCTTTCGATGCCGCCCGCGTCGATGTCCGTGCCCACGCCGCCCCTCGCGTCGATGCCGCCGTACTGCGCGCCGCCGTTCAACTCGATGCCGCCGTCGACCACGACGATGCCCGTGTGAATGCCCGCGCCGATGTCGATGCCGTCGTCCTGCGCGATCCCGCCGCCCACGTCGATGCCCGCGCCGACGCTCGTCTCGACGCCGCCGTCCGCGTCGATGCTCGCGTCGGCGCCGCCCGCGTCGACGCCGTCGTTGCCTGTGTCGACTGCCTTCGACGTCAGGACCCCGAGCCTCCAACGTGGGCGGCGCTGCCGCGGGGGCAGCACGTCCTGACGATCGATGTCGAGATGCTCGCTGTCTGCGATCAGCTCGTCGACGTCCAGTGCATCGGCGAAGCGGCCCCTGTCCATCTTGATGCTGTCGCCCGCGTCGATGCCGTCGCATGCGCCGACGCCCGCGTCGACGCCGCCGCTCACGTCGATGCCGTCGTCCTGCGCGCCGACGCCCGTGTCGGGATCGATGCCGGCGCCCGCGTCGATGCCGTTGTCTTGCGCGCCGACGCCCGTCTCGATGCCGCCATCCACGTCGGTGCCGTCGACGTGCGTGCCGACGCCCGTCTCGACGCCGCCGTCCACGTCGGCGCCGTCGACGCGCGTGCCGATGCCCGCGTCGATGCCGCCGCCAACGTCGACGCCGTCCGCGTCGACGCAGCCGTCCGCGTCGTCGACGGTGATGCGGCCGCCAAGCCGCCCGTCGCTCGCCACGTCGTCGACCGCCGCTCTCACGTGGGCGTCGCTCTCGTCGAACGGCGTCGGGACCTCGCAGCCTTCCAGCTGGCGCTGGCGGTGGCGGTGCAGCCAGACCTCCGCGACCACCCACTCGATCGATCGGCCGCCATCCGCAAACCAGGGATAATTCAAAACCCCCGTGACAGGATTGACAATCGGGGCGAAGCAGGCCGACCGAGGGTCATGCCGAAAAGCCATGGCTTGAGCCAAAATCCCTACGGGTGGTTTTGATGCGTTACCCCCCAATCAGCATCCGCCTTTCCCGCGTGTTTCAGAAGGGGGGAGCCCGGCTGTCTTTGCATTTCCCACTGGGTCATACAACAGAGGATCGACGTCGCTCGCCTTCGCGGCCCCGCGCCAAAAGGAGGGGCACGGCGTCGAGCTCAAATGCCCCCCCCCCCCCCCGCGCATCGAGCTCAAACGCCCCTGGATGAGGACGGGGGCGGGTGGCGGTTCCTTGTGTCCTTTCTCCACCTCGCCCTCATTTTCCCCCTCACCCCCTCCCCCCCGGGTGACTTCGGGGACCTCGTCGGGGCTCATGGTGGTGCTATGGCCCGCATGGGCCTCGCAGCGCCCCCCGAGAACCTTCGAAGGTCTCCTCCGGACCACCGACCTCCCCCGCCGCCTTTTCGTCATCATTCTCACCCACGTCCTCGGTTTCGTTTTCGCCCTCCTCTTATCG